GATCCTGGATTCAAGCCCCAGCTCCCCAGCAACTCATACACACACACACACACACACACACACACACACGAAGAAGAAGAGGAGGAGGAGGAGGAGGAGGAGGAAAAGAGATTCTTACATGAAGATATGAGACCATTTTATTCCTTTTTTTTTTGAGAGAGAGAGAGAGAATTTTTTAAATATTTATTTTTTAGTTTTTTGGTGGACACAACATCTTTGTTTGTATGTGGTGCTGAGGATCGAACCCGGGCCGCACGCATGCCAGGCAAGCGCGCTACCGCTTGAGCCACATCCCCAGCCCCCATCTTATTCCTTTTTTAAAAGTGGAGCAAGCCAGGCACAGTGGCACATGCCTGTAATCCCAGCAGCTCAGGAGACTGAGATAGGAGGATCGCAGGTTCAAAGCCAGCTCAGCAATGAGTGAGGCACTAAGCAGCTCAGTGAGAACCTGTCTCTAAATAAAATACAATATAGGGATGGGGATGTGGCTCTGTGGTTGAATGCCCCTGAGTTCAATCCCCAGTTACCCCTCCACCTGCTCCGCAAAAAAAAACCCAACTGGGGAGACAGCCTAGGAGTCCTGTAGAAATCATTCTGTTTGGAAAGTGGTCTCTTTCTTGAGATTTCTCTGGTTCAATCCATCTATCCTTTCTAAGGAAAGAATGTGAATTCCTTTCAAGAAAGATAAATGAAAATGAGAAGCCAAGAGAAGTTACTTTGATCCCTGGTAGAGAAAATATTGGGTAAGAAAAGGGAAAAAAAAACTGGCAATAAGAACCCTGTCCATTTATTCTGGAAAGAGTGGCTTGCTTTCTGAAATAACTTTTGGACTAGAAATTTATCATCTGAAGTCAGGTCATTTTGAGTTTTGTTTTTTTTTGTTGTTGTTGTTTGTTTGTTTTTGCTAAACTAAAGGAGTCAAGTTATTAATATTTGAAAAATGGCTACTATGTGATGCATAGAATAATATAATTCTCCTACCTAAATTAACATCATTGCAGGCTCCATAATAAAGATTTATGAGATACTCATTGTGTGAAATGCTATTATGGAAATCTCCATAGGTCTGTGTTTGGGTTATAACTGGTTTTGTGGTTATGAACCAATTAAAAGCCCGAGTATTTTCCTCTCTTTTACACTCCAGTCTTGTCCCATTTTCTTTTGCCCTTAAACTAGAGCCACCCATTATTCTTCAACCTGTCTGTGTATTGTAAAAATGAAGAGATAAGGAAGTGCTGCCTACTCAGGTTGGCTATCTAGGCAGACCATTTTCCTTCAGAGCATCCAACATGGTGAAACAATTTATCATTTCTTATTCGTAAATCACTTTGATCCTTTATCTCAAGTTGATCGGTGAAGCTGAACATAAATTCTGGTTGTAGTATCCATGTTCTTATCTACACCCAGAGTGCTGGAGGACCTTATAAAAACGTGTGTCTGTGTCCATGTGTATCTAATAAAATTAGAATATCACAATCAGAATATCTTCTCTGCTTCTAATGTTAAATTACCAGGTTGTGAGTTCTCTTCAGTGTGATTTGGCATAATAAAAACTATACACTTGATCAAACCATTCATTCTCTTAATCTGAGGTTGACCTATCTTGGACTAGAACATTTGCTGGTTTGAACTTGTTAGGGCTGACCCTGGCACAGATGTGTTGACCTTTAACAGTTGCTCATTGGCTGCCCTTTATCAAACCCCCTGCTATGGCAAGTGACTCTCAGGACTCTTGTTCTCTTTTAAAATTATATCATCACTTTTAACATTTGCCAGTTGTCATTATAAGTGTTAAATTTGTACAACTTATAGTATGCAGATGTATTCTACACACTTGATCCTATGTAATCTTCACAACTGCCCTGTGAGGTAAGTTTTAGTATTTTTTATATTGTTTCCCTTATTAAGAAGATTGAGACCCAGAGAAGCAAAGTGAATATGTCCAAGGTTACACAGCTAGTGGCAGGACTATATCCCTGGCCACCTAAGTCCTTGATGAGTGTCCTTTCTACAACACAATAGCTGGAGTTTAACTTTCAGTGTCATTCAGCTTAACTCAGTGGTATTTGATAGACTTTTCAAAGACTGAGGAGTTGGAACCCTTGAACTTTCAGTCTAGCAGGCAATGTGATATTGAGTAAATTATTTAAACTGACCAAGAGGTTAATGGCGCCATGTGTCAGATCCAACTCCTATACAACTAAATTATGGCTAGTATAGAATTTTTAAATACCTGGTGACACATAAACATGAAATATTGCCAACAGTACATTACAGAAAGAATTCATGTGATTGATGAACATATAGGATTATATATTACACTGCATGTGCTAAGACTTTGAGAGCTTTCTAAAGATAGTATTTTCTGAAAGATATATGATTGAACTTGAACTCCCCTGGGGACATCCATTTCAAGATCAGAAGTTTGCTTTTTAAAAAAAAGGAAGAAAGAAATGCTTCATGTAAAGCATTTTTCAAACTCATCAGGTAGATAGATACGTACATACTTATTTCCATAGCACTATTCAGTGATAGCGAGTCTTAAGTATAATGAGTCCAGTAAATGAGAAGGAGATGTCCTTGTCCCCTGAGACTCCCTTTCTTTTCTTTTTAACATCTATTTGAATGGAAATCAGAGCATGCTGCTTCTCAGAACTGGGGACCCATCGGCATCATCCTAAGAAAATGTACATTTTTCTTTTTAAGTAAAAATAAGTAGAAATCCTTTTTTAAAAAATTTGCTCCTTTCTGAATTACTCTTAGAAACAGGCAGTGTCCACACTATGGAGAGTGCTTATTGCTGGGAGACTTTGGTATCTGAAATGTGGTGGTGTCCTGCTGAGGAGGAAGAACACAGCATACACTGTGAGCAGGGTCATAAGGGGACCCCTGACCAGGCTATGATAGCCTGTGCACTGGCATGAGAGACTGTCTTCCACAATCAGCCTCTCTACCTCATGAGGATAAACCCATTTGGCTGGTGATTTTACTTACTTTTTGCTTTTCTAGCCTTTGAGACTAAAAATACTTGTTACAGTATATGGGACTCTTGGCTGATGTTTTTGATCCAAAAACTGCCTTGATCCATAACCACTTGATAAAGTTCTTTTTCAAAGCTCTTCTGCTTGAATATTGGGCATTAAATGAGACCTGTTTAGAGAAAGTATAAAACTCAGAATCCTACCGCTGAAAGTTGGTTTTATTCTGACAAGGTCAGACACATGACTCTTTACCCCTACCCTGCCAATGAACTGTGAGTGCCAGAGTTGTGACCATGACAGTGACTGAAAAGTTAAGAGAGCCTGGCTTACAGGGCCAACCGTATGTCACACTCCTAACCAATAAAAAATTAACATAAAGGATGATGGATTATAAAATAAGGTATCCTGGCCTACATTAAGAGCCACGTTTGGCCTGCTTTATAAATCTGGGCTGTAAACCACTATGGAAAGTAGGTAAACCACTGGGCTGTAGGTAAATCTGGGCTGTAAAGTAGGTAAACCTGGGCTGTAAACCACTATGGAAAAACCCTTTGACCACTTTTCTCCATGCCTCCCTCCCTCTACTCTACTCTCCCTAGCTTCTGGTAACCACTGTTCTCTCAACTTATGTGAGATCAGTCTTTTTAGATTCCACATATGAGTGAGATCATGCGGTTGTCTTTCTGTGCCTGGCTTGTTTCACTTAAATGATGATCTCAGCTCCATCCAAGTTGTCACAAATGACAGAGTTTTGTTCTTTTTTATGTATTTACACCACATTTTCTTTTCATTCATCAGTTGGTGGACACTTAAGTTTCCATTCCTTGGCTATTGTGAATAGTGCTACAGTGGACATGGAAATACAGATGTTCCTTTAACATTGTTGATTTCATTTTTCTCCCATTCTGTAGGTTGTCTCTTCACTGTTGTTTTTCCTTTGCTGTGTGGAAGCGTTTTAATTTAAAATAATCTCATTTGTCTGTATACCTATTGGATGCATACCCTGGAATGGGATTGCTGAATTATGTGATGGTTCTACTTTTCATTATTTGATGACACTTCATACTGTTTTCCATAATGGTTGTACTCATTCACATTCCCAGCAACAGCTGGGTTCTCTTTTTTCCATATTCTCACTAGCACTTATCTTTTGTCTTTTTGATAGTCATTCATTCTAACTGCAGTGAGGTGATATTATGGTTTGATTTGCCTTTCCGTAATGATTAGTGATGTTGAATATTTTTTCATATACCTATTGGCCATTTATATATCTTCTTTTGAGAAATGCCTATTTACGTCAATTGCCCATTATTAAATTTGATTACTTGGTGGAGTTTTTTGTTGTTTATTTTTAAGTTGTATTTTTATTTATTTTTGCTCTTAAGTTGTTGCGTTCCTTATACAATCTGGATATTTGCCACTTGTCAGATACATCGTTTGCAAATATTATCTCCTATTCTGTAGGTTGTCTCTTCACTGTTGTTTTTCTTTTGCTGTATGAAAGTGTTTTAGTTTAAAATAATCCCATTTGTCTGTTGTTGCTTTAGTTGCCTATGCTTTGGGGATCTTTCCAAAATATTGTTGCCCCTTTCAAAATCCTGAAGAATTTCCCCTGTGTTTTCTTCTAGTAGTTTCAGGCCTTACATTTAAGTCTTTTATCCATCTTAAGTTGATTTTTGTAACCGATGAGAAATAGGGGTCTAGTTTCATTCTTCTGCGTGTGGCTATCCAATTTTCCCAGCATCAGGAAAGAGACCCTCAGCCTACTTTGAGGGGTCAGTGTGAAGACTAGAAATAGTACATAGAGTGCAAAGCACAGTCTTGTGTGTAGACAGCCATGAGAAAGTGTTACTACCATTATTACTGTCACTCAGCATGGAACTTCTAAGACCTTTTCTGAAGACTCCACTGTTTGTTCCTAACCAAGTTAAACCTTCCAAGTTAATCCTTTTCAGTACATCGTAAGTCTGGTTGTGAAAGTGTGGGTCTCATATTATCTTGCTTGCTTTCTTTTTTCAGATCTGTAAGAGCAAAGCTAAAGAATCTCAGCAGTATTATCATAGCTTGGCTGTCCGGCAGAGTCTGGCTGTTCATTTTAACATCCAGCAGGACTGTGGGCATTTCCTTGCTGAAGTCCCCAATCGTCTGCTTCCCTGGGAGGATCCTGATGCCCCTGAAAAGGCAGAGGATGAATTGGAAGACAGCGAAGAAGAAGTGAAGGGAGAAACTAATGGAAAAAACCCAGAGGCCTGCTCTGAAACAGAGTCATCTCAGAAAGACAGCCAGGGAGTCACAAGCAGGAAGCAGAGAAGCCATGTTGTGGTCATCACCAGAGAGGTTCCCCATCTCACTGTGGCCGATTTTGTGAGAGATTCTCTGGCCCATCATGGGAAAAGCCCTGACTTGTATGAGAGGCAAGTGTGTCTGCTGCTCTTACAGCTGTGCTCTGGCCTTGAGCACCTCAAGCCCTACCATGTCACTCACTGCGACCTACGCCTAGAGAATCTACTGCTTGTCCACCACCAGCCTGGCGGAGCCACCCAGAGCCTTGGACCTGCAGAGCCCAGCCCCACCTCATCTTGTCCCATGAGGCTTATTGTGAGCAACTTCTCTCAGGCCAAGCAGAAGAGCCATCTGGTGGACCCTGAGATCCTCCGGGACCAGTCCCGCCTTGCCCCCGAGATTATAACAGCCACCCAGTATAAAAAGTGTGATGAATTCCAGACAGGCATCCTCATCTATGAGATGCTGCACCTGCCCAACCCCTTTGATGAGAACCCAGAGCTAAAGGAGAGGGAGTACACCCACGCAGACCTGCCTCGCATCCCTCTCCGCTCCCCCTACTCCCGGGGCCTACAGCAGCTGGCCAGCTGCCTCCTGAATCCCAACCCTTCTGAGCGCATCCTCATTTCCGACGCCAAAGGCATCCTCCAGTGTCTGCTCTGGGGCCCCCGCGAAGATCTCTTCCAGACATTCACTGCCTCTCCAAGCCTAGCACAGAGGAACACCCTGCTCCAAAACTGGCTGGACATCAAGCGAACGCTGCTGATGATCAAATTTGCTGAGAAGGCCCTGGATAGGGAGGCAGGGATCAGCCTTGAGGACTGGCTTTGTGCTCAGTATCTGGCCTTTGCCACTACAGACTCCCTCAGTTGTATTGTGAAAATCCTGCAACACCGTTAATGTGGCCTGGATGCTGCTTTTACTACATTTCCGTGTTCTTCATGATTCCCCCAGTGCTGCCCCATTATACAGTTCAAAGAAAACAGAGAGACAAACCTTCCATCCCTGTCCATAAACAGATGGGTCCATCAGAAGGCTATCACAACTCCAGATCAAGTGACAAGCGGGGTCTGTTTTCACTTTGCAAAATTCAACTGCACAAACATGCAGTTTCCTTCCCTTGGAACATCTTTCATCCCAGTAGTCCCCCAAATGCAGGTAAAAAATGAAAATGCACCTCTTTGAAGGGACAACTCCTGTGGTGTGAACTCAATGAACTGTGGCCAGCTCCTCCATAATTCTGAAGATCACCTGTCTTTCTATAAACAAGTATTTATTCTCACTAGCAATAGTCAGATGTAACCAACCTCTGCCATCATCCCGTAAATCTTACAACAGACTCCTTCTTCCTTTAGGTTATCAATAACTGAGCCTTTGCCAGGCAGACTTGCATCCTTAGCATGAGTCCAGTTTTGGTTACCAGGGACTATATCTTTGTTCCAGCAGACAGTAGAAAGAAAAAGAGCAATCCCTACACTTTAGGTCACAGACCCATTTTCATTTCTATTATCAATAAGTGTTGTGCACTGCACGGAGGACAGCTCTAATAGCCTCCCCTCTGCTGCCACTGCCTGGTTCTCCTTCACCTCTGCTCAGTCCCCACTTGTCGATGAAGTTGGTGTTTATCAGCCACTTGCAGCCCATTACAGAGCTGACCCAAGGTGATGTCACCAGTGCCTCAGCAGGGTGGAGCACAGTTCAGAGCTTATAAATAGCTGGCAGGACATGAGGAGATGATTTTCTTGCATGTGCAATTCTCTAGGGGCCACCAGGGAACAGAGTTTAAAGTACTATTCTTTGATTACTGTCAGAGCTGTCAGCGTTGGCAGCCAGGGCTGGCAGTGTCTGATCAGAGTTTCCCCCGAGCAGTAATTGGCCAGCTTCCTTCTATCAGTAGCCAGTGTTAACTAGTCGACCAAATGCTGTAGACAACAGCCCTGAATGAAACGGCTGTCAGCTTAGCTCTAAGATCTGCTTAGATGGCACTGTGAAGCTGGCTACTTGGATAGCCAGAAGGCAGGGGACAGGGAGAAGGCCACTGATGAGACGCTGACCCTACCAGAGAGACCTCCTCTGGTATAAGTGGCACATTGCTCCTAGGACTCTCAAATGGCTCTGGAAGACAGCTCACATGAAGGCTGACTGCTGAGGCTGTGGCTGATAGCGGCTGGGCTCCCTGCCGGCCATGCTCCTCTCCCGTGGATGTATGTGCAATCTTTGTATCTATTTTTTAGCTGTATATTACATTGTCTATGTTGCAACCTCACCTGAAGCGCGATCTACAGAAACCTTCCCCTTCTTCTCTCTGCACATATTTGCGCTAAGACAAGTGTTCCTTTCACCTGAGTATGTGTGTGTGTGTGTGTGTGTGTGTACTTGTTGTATACAGAACTGTGAGTATTTGTTTACTTCAACCTTGAAATCCCAAGAGTCACTCAAACGGCATGAGTGTGTGTACAAGTGTGTGCTTCTGTGTGTGTGCACACACATGCTGGAAATAGAAGACAGGCCAGCCTGTGCGGCAGGGTTGACAGTAGTGTTCTCTGCACCTAGGTGGCAAGGAAGCCTGGGGCCCTTATCCACCAGCACAGAATTTTCTTAAAGCCGAGACTGATTGTGCAGTATTACTTAGATGGCATATTAGTGGCCTTGGAAATTGCTAAACTTTAAACATTTGTAATAGCCTTTCAAGTGATTCACCTGTAGCAAAGAGGATCAAGAAAGCAGAAGAATGTATTTTATTGTGCTTTTTTTTTTTTTAAGAGAATGACATGTGAGGCTCCACATGAGGATGTCCTTGTCCTCCCAGCCAGTAGTATAGGAGTCCCAGGAAAGAGGCTGGTGGGCCCACAGAAGAGTCTTGCCTAGGAATGGCCATGCCGTTGCAGGCCAGCAGTCCACTTCCTCAGTGTCCTGTGGCATGGCTGCACCTTGCCTGGCAGGCTTGTGTTTGGTTCCTCTTAGCATAGCCCATGTGCACATAACTCCTTGCCTAATTATGCACTGAACTGGCAGCACAGACCACTGCCCATGTCAGCCAGCACATTCCTGCAACCCGCGCCCCCCCCCCCCAACAGTTTGCAAATTGAGACATACTTTCTCAATGTCACTCTCCTGGTGCCTTGCCCATGTAAATTTGAATGTTGACTATTTAATGAGGTTACATATTTAATGCAGAATGTTCCCTGGTCCCTCTGTTTGTTCTGTCTCTGGGTATCTTCCCCCACCACCACCAATCTGTTATGACTGTGTTCAGCCTTCTCTTTCATTCCACAGTAGAACAAGCACGGACACCTCACTACCACGGTCTTAGAGTACTGGTGACTGAGCACCTCTTCATACTGCACATAGTTAGTACTATTTCTACATCCATGTTTGTGAAGGGCAAAAGAGGAATGCCAGCTAGTCAGAGAAGGGCCTCAGGCTTCCCAGAGACAGGTGGCTACATTAATTTTCTCTGGGTGATGGCCAAAGAATGTGAGGGGGAGGGAAAGAGGGTGTTACAGGTCAGAACAGAATAGAGAAAAGAACTGCATTTCTAGGTAAGCTGTACAGCAGATGGTCCTCAGAATATTTTTCTGAAATAATTAAATTCAGTCATTCTAACATTATCATAAATATTTTACATTTTCATTTTAATTGTGGTAGGAACTTTTAATTAATTCATCCACTGAAAAGAAATCCTACCCTCTGTAGAACCAACTACACACACATTTAATATATATATAATATATTACATATTATATAACATATAATATATATTATATATATATATGACTTTTGGATTGTGACTAGTATAGCACTTTAAGTTTTCTCAAGTAACATCAAGTTATTGTCTTCAATATTGATTGGAAATCTTTTTCTTTTCTATTGAAGTCTTCAGTATAGATCCTTCTGTTTATGTTGAGAGTTTGAACAATTAAGCCCATATTGGAATTTTTCCTTAAGCCACATGAGCATGAACAATCTCTGACACATTTGGGTGCTAGAGAGAGGCCAGTGGCTAGAGCAACCAAGAACAAGAATGAATGTATCTCAGAGTGCCTTGCTGGAGTGGTAACCTTGTCTTGAAAGGAAGAGGGTCCAGGGTGTTCCACAGAAAGAGTGAGGACTGTGAAATCCTCCTGTGCCCATGGAGGAGAGTCCTTTTGATATGTGCACACTAATATGAAGCACAGAAGCTAATCAGGAAGAATGACAGCAGGATGAGAAAAAGAGCAATTATGAACCTGTAGATCAACAATATGAGAATCACAAATGAGGTCCACCAACCCTAAGGCTGAGTTAGGACTGGAAGCCAGTGGCATAGCAGTGAGTTTCGGGATTTGCCCTCAGAAGGTGGACTGGGTGAATGGAGGGGCACAAACATCCCTCCTACCTGACTACTGATGTTGATGAACGGAAAAGAAACACACCAGGGTTTAGAGTCAGAGCATCTCCATTGCCAGATTAGGCCCGTCTACTTCCAAACACAATAAATACATCTGTGAACACAGAAATCTCTAAGCCAAGAAGTCTCAACCTGAGGAATGTTAATGATATTTCTGGGAACTACCAAAAATTGTATTTTAAATTCTCTAATATTATAAAATTTTCATGAGAGACCTTTGGGGCCCACTAGATAGTAGGACCCAACATTATCATAAATATTTTTGATAATATTTATCACCCTGCTCTCCAAATTTGAGCTGTAACTACTTTGGAACTGGGAAGTAACCTGACATTTAATTTTGCCGGTAACAAGCAATTAGGATTCTCCCCTGCCCTTTATCAGCAGTGATCTGGAAAAAAAATACAGACTAGTCCCAGAAATTTGGATGGATTTAGGATCCCACACTGTATTTCCAGTTATTTAGATGTATAAGCATGAACATACTTGGAGAGGGGACAAGCGGAACTTGACTCCCTGGGCCAACACTGGCATTGCTTTTCATCCCCTCACTAGTGGATAAGGATTAAAGATTCTGCCCGGTCGAATCAGTGAACAGAATGGCTACCTGCAAAACTGGTTATTGGATTTACCTCATTGGAGCTCATATACTCAAAGGCCCAAAGCTCTGTGCTGAGACAAACCCAAGAGCTGCTCTTACTGGAGAGTGCACTGAAGTCCAGCTGTCCGTGCTCACAGCAACATCGCAGGTGGGGACTCCACGGACCAAAAACGATGCCCTGGGGAAGTCAGAAGAGGCACAATACAAGATCCTAGACAGATTATACCAAAGAAATCAAGCTTTTTTATCCCAATGCTTCTCCAATGAGGAGGCTGAGGTATGACAGATGCCAGGGGAGGGAAATTCACACACATTCCATGTTAGGGTATTCAGCTGATAAATCCATCCTTTAAAAAGCACCTACTTTTTTAAGCAGTCCATTTTGTATATTAGAAGAAGATGATGATGAAGATGGTAGAATCCTGGAGCAGACAGTGAAGTCCCTGGTATCTAGGGAGAAGGTCTTTCAGCCCTGTAGCACGGCTGTGGCTGTTGTCCAGACCTCAGTGTGGGAACTTCATATAATGCTGAGAGCTGACGTTTAGGGGTTTGGGGGGGTTGTTTGTTTGTTTAAAGAGAGTATAGTTTCAATAGGTTTAAGAACTCTTGAGAAATTTCTTAACATATTGTACCATTTTTATAAACCTTCCTGCAGAGGTGTTTACCATTCAGCATCACCATCATTTAGTATTTATAAGTGCCCAGACTGTACAAGGTGCTATACAGCTGTTACACATTCCCTCTCTGCAGCTGTTTGAAATTAGAATAGATGTTGCATCAGCCACTGCTGGAAGCTTTGCCCGCCTAGGTGGGCCGCAGGGGCCTGCATTCCAACAGCCCTCCCACACTTCAGCGCTGAGAGCCTCTTAGTCCCTTCCTGATCACCTCACCCATCCCACCCGCCCCCAT